AGCCCACTGGGAATGTTAATAGTAGCCCACTGGGAATGTTGATGTTTGGCTCAATGGGAATGTTCATGGTCGGCTCAACACTGACCTACAATTCACACAGTTAAAAAGTAAATATCCAAAACAGATGTTCCAGGTAACCAAAGAAAACTTGGAACTCTGCCATGGATAGAATTTAAAGGGAATTAAAACTGATAATATAAATATATACAGCATAGTTTAATTACATTTGTTAAAAAAATAAATTAGTGTTGATCATTGAGTTGGAGCCTTTTTTGGAATAAAGCTGATAAAAAGTTGAACAAAGTGAGCATCCAGACAGCTGTTGGTTCTCCAGCCATGCAGAATCCATTACTGCCGGAAACACTTCCAGACTTTTTTTATTGTGAAGTTTGGGCGGAAGTGATGTTTTTCCGCTCGTGAACTTGTTTCTGGGGTGGAAAGTTTTCTCCCAGAGGCGCGCGCTCCCTCCCTGCACGCTGTGAGCAGCAGCATCCTCTCCAGGGGCCTCAAAGTTGGAGCCGCTTCTCAAACACCCCGCTGATCACTCTTTATTCACTCTCTGTGTCGGTTTCCAGAGGAGGATGAGCTCCGATGGGGGAGGGATGGAGCGCTGCCGTTAGCGGCTCCTGAGTGGCCCCCACCCCGCTGAGAGAGCGCCTCTCCCCGCTGCAGGGAACATGGGCTGCGGCTTGAGGAAACTGGAAGACCCGGAGGACAGCAGTCCTGGGAAAATCTACTCCACCCTGAAGAGACCGCAGGTGGAGACCAAGACAGACACCGCCTTTGATTATGTGCTGCTGGACTTCAGCTTGGAAGGTAGATCCTCTCATTATTAACTCTTTGCTGTCCTGAACGGTCTTTATTTCTTCTATTTTAAATCTCACAAATCTTTGCTAAATATTTAATGTCTGCAGAGCGAAAGAAAAGATCTGATTGTTGAATCATTTATTTAATCCTGAATGTTTTAACTGCTGTTATCAAAGGACATGATGTATTTAACGACACTAATTAATTACTTTTGGTTATAACAAATATAATCAATCATGCATTTTCAGGCATTGGTCATTTCTTTCTCCTCTAAGCATAAGCAGAGTATTTTTTATTTACTTTAGTATTTAAAATGATATTATAATTAAATGTTGTCTAAAAACAACAAGTGGTTTAAAATATTTGTTATTTGCAGCTAAAACTGTTATAAATATATTTAAAACTGTTCGCTTCTGGTGTTAGTTTTAGTTTTCCTGATCAGTTTGTGTTTGTTCAGCTGTAAAGGAGTTTATTTCTCAGAGAGGACTGATTATTTTAAGCTGAATCAATCTGAAGAATAATGCATGTTCCATTTCCCAAGAAAAATAAATAATAATAATAATACAATTCTCTAAGAAGCCTGAAAGTCAAAGCCCAGGGAAAACTTTCCCACACATCCACAAATGAAAAGTCTGAAACAGTTTAATGTTTTTTCTGAAGCATTTATCTGTAAATTTATTGACACAATCAAACATTTCATACATAAAATGATTAAGTTTCTCTTTGGACATTAATTCTTCAGACTAAAGAACCGATTTTTATATCTAATAATATGAACCGTATCATGGAGGATTAAAAATACCGTTGAAACATGCACTCATGTATGGGGTGCATAGAAATGAAAAATTAGAAGCAATATTAATGTTTTTTAGCACGTTTTAAGAGAAAAATAAAGAGGTTACTTTTTTCAAGCCATTTTTCCACCTTGTCAGTCATTCATTTATAAAAATCTTACTTTGTTAAATAAATAATTAGTTTACAAATTAAATATTTAGTTTGTTAAATAAGTATTTAGCTCCAAATAAAATGTTTATTTAACAAACTAAACATTTAGCTAGCACCAAGCTAGTTAAGTATCTAGCGAATATGCAAATTCCCTTGCTGAAAAGCAGAAGTGAATTACCAAAGTAAAAGCATGTGAATCTGAATATATTTATTTAACAAACTTAATATTTAATTTGCAAACTAAAGTGGAGAGAGCGTTGTCATAATATTTATTTAACAAACTTAATATTTAATTTGCAAACTAAAGTGGAGAGAGCGTTGTCATAATTGACCGGTTTTGATTGAGGATGTACGAGTTTAAACGGTGCACATTGTTCTCTCTGCAAGCTCAGTTCAGTGACACCAAAATTACGCCATAGATGTTGAGAAAAAGAACACGAAAATGCAAAGTTAAGCAGCAAACTATCAGGACTCCCCAGAGTAACACATCCAGCCTCCCCCACCTGCAGCACAACCACAGGTTCAAAGCTGTGCAAAAGCCTCCATTACCTTTAGGCAAAAACCTTTTTCTCCTATTCAATGAGATATTGCTGAATCTTTAAACCTGAATAGGTACAAGATTTTAATTAATTGAAAGCAATATGTAATGTGATTTATTAAATAATTTATAAATAGGTCAGTTGCATTTCCTGCACAGGCCTTTATATCTGATAGAGGAGCCGGAGCGTTTATCGTTATCGAGGTAAAACTGCCCAATTTCTCGTGAAATTTATTTGGCCCACCTCTAGTCTAACCCCTCGCTAACAGCTAACAGCCTCTGTCCCCATTCTGCTGCAATTGTCACACCATCACGCTGTGTAAGTGTTGATGATGTCACCAGTGCGAAAGCAATCAGGAAAGTAAACAATGTATAGTCTCTATACTCCGGTTAACAATTAATCGATTACTAAATTATTTGACAATTATTTCGATAACTGATTAATCTGATTCTCTCAGTCCTAGTAAAAACAGCATTACTATGTTACAGAGGGAAGCTAGGACCCAAATAAAGCGTATTAAACTAGCAGCGGAGCCTGAAGGACCGCAGACCTTTCCTGGCAACAGGAACGTTCATTCAGTTTGTCAGAAAATGGGTCAGCAATGATTTTCCTTCCCTCTCTTCCACTAGTGGCTCTGTCCCTCGCACAAGGACACTCTCTCATTCACACTCCTTCCCATGCGGCTAAATGAATCCCCCCCCCCACCTGCTGGGAAATGGAGTCTAATTTGAACGGGGGCCGCTGCTCTGCTGGGATAATCCCTTCATCTGGCCGCTTTCGCCGCGGCCTAGTTGGAAGGAAATGGTGATTAAGTTGTGAATGGGAGCTGAGCACGTAAACAGCCGGCCGGGGAAAACGGTCAGAGGCTGTTTTCAAACGGCGGTCCCCTTTAGACGCCGCTGATGTGGAAAAAGCAGCTGTCCATTGATCCTCAGATAAACTCCTGCAGAAGTTATGAAGGTTTTCTGCTCATCTCCATGTGAAGCTCTTAACCTGACCTCCAGGGGATCAGGGGTCCCCAACCAGCTCAGCCTGTGACCCCAAACATGAACAGAGCCACAGACTGCTGGCCCCATAAAAACACAAACGATTCACTCTTTATTTACAAATAATCAGATT